CATCCTCGCAGACAGTAAGGACTTGTTCTGGTTGAATCTGTGTGTGAGCATCTCTGACAGGCAGAGTGAAGTGCCTGAGCCCTTTCTGACCCACAGGCTGCTGGTGGGGTGAGCGCACCTCCGGGCTTGTCTGTTGTCCCAGCAGAATTACCTGTCACACCCCCTTTCTCCTGCAAAAGTCCTTCGCAAGTCGGGTGGTTACCAGTAAGTTGGTCCTGCCAACCTGACACAGCTCTGCCCACCGGAGCTGATGGGTGGCTACTAACAGCTTAATGTTGGAGGCAACAGGGAGTGGAGGGGAGTGGGGCACACCCGGCCGAGGGCCATGGCACTTGTACCCACATGCTATTTTAACCAACAAGACCTCCTGGTTTTTCCAGGGAAGCCAGAAACTGGAATTTTAAAAAAAAAATGTAAAGTCTTTCAATTAAAAGCTTCTCTCCCCAACTCCCAACTTGATTCAAACCAGCTTCCAGAATGTCCGCTCACCTACAGCTGCCCCTTGAGGGCAACCAGCTCACTTTCCACACACATTCCTTTTTTATTTTCTTTTTTTAAGACAAACAAGGCCATAAGAAAATATGTAAAATAAAGACCTTGATTTTGCCTTCCTGTCTCTATCACCTGTGGACCTTCCCGGCCTCGCGCGAACACGTCCAACATCAGACCATCCCTTCCAGAAATGCGTCCCAGGGGCCGGTCTGCTGGACATCACTGGCCAGCTTGAGTCACACAAGGGCCCTGGAGGGCGCCTGCAGAATGGATGATGCCTTCGAGGTTGCCGGGCATTGCCCAGCCTCTCACACACGGAGCTGCTGCAGGGCCGGGGCCACGTCAGCACGGCCCCGGGGCCTGTAGCCGCATAGGGCAGCGATCGCCAGCTGGTGGTCCGTGAGGTCCAAAAGGCTGGCGACCGCTGGCATAGGGAACTGCATGGCCAGTGCCAGGCTGCAGAAGAAACCCCTCGTGGGCAGGTCAGTCTGGCAGCTCACTACCAGCACTTCCCTCAAGCAGGCTGGATGGGAGAGACGGCCGCAGGCAGTGCACCTGCCTGTGTCCAGATGTGAGATTGCTGCTAGAGAGAGCTGGCTGCCATCTCGTCTCCATGCCCACAGGTTTCCCGAGAGACTGTTCCCGGTGAGGAAACTGAGGCACAAAGAAGTTAAGGGGTCTCCCATTTCCTCGCCAGCCTCCCCTTCCCCCTCAGAGGGAAGCTCTGCCCTGTCCAGCCCCATCACTTGCCCTTCCCCCTTCGAGGGGGCGGACACCTGATGAGAGAAACTGCGGCACCAGGGAACACAAGGCATCCGGCCAACAGCAAGGCCCACGTGAGGGCCCAGGTGTGGAGGGGCTTGCAGGGCATCCTCACAGCACAGCGCTGCTACCAGGAGCCAGTGGCTTCTGTCGAAAGCTGTTTCCCCATCTGTAGGAGGGGAGGTGCCCTGGCCTGTAATCCATGCACACGGGCATGGGCCCAGGCCCCGGAGTCCCCAGTATTGGAGGCAGCACTCGCACTGACCAACCACAGGCTTCCTGGAGGTGGCGGTGGGGCAGGGGAGGGGGCGGGGCCTCGCAGATGCAGGGGTGGGTTGGGCAGAGCGAAGGAAGAAGCCATCCCTCCCACCTCTTTTTGTCATTTTTTTTTTAAACGGAAGTTGTTTTTTTTTAATACATTTTTTTTATTGATTTTTTACAGAGAGGAAGGGAGAGGGACAGAGAGTTAGAAACATCGATGAGAGAGAAAGATCGATCAGCTGCCTTCTGCATGCCCCCCACTGGGGATGTGCCCGCACCCAAGGCACATGCCCTTGACCAGAATCGAACCCGGGACCCTTGAGTCCGCAGGCCGACGCTCTATCCACTGAGCCAAACCGGCTCTGGCCTCTTTTTGTCATTTTTAAGGACATGCCCAGGATGAGGGAGGCCGAGCCCCACCTCTGGGCATGGCGTTGCTGCTAAATTTAAGCCTTTCTCCCTGAGTGCCTACAGCCTTAATATAGCCGCTGGGTACCCCTTCCTGCAGCCCTTCCTCCTGCTACAGCCCCCAAGGCTCTGCCCTCTGGTCACAAACAACCGGACACTGGCTGGCAGGCCTGCAGCCTGGGCCACTTATCATAGTGACAGGGTGGAAAGGCCACCTCGTGGGCGCTGCCTGACTGCACCCACTTCATCTCCAGCCTCTCTGCCCAGGGAGCCCGAGGAGGGGCGCCCCCTGCAGCTGTCCCCGCCCATCCGCATCCCAGAGTCCACCGACCCCCACCAGGCTCCGCCCTGGGGCCGGGGGAAGGGAGAAGACCTGCCGGTGAGCACACGGGGCATAGAAAGCGGCGACACCAGGACCCCTCATCAGAGTTGCTTAAATCAGAACATTTTAAGGTGCCCTTCTCCCAACCTTCCAGCCTTGGTGGCTTCACTCCAGTCTCAGGGCAGCAGCCAAACGTGTCCCAGGGACACTCCTGCAGGCTTGGTCCTCGAGGCAGAAGCATCCCCCCTACACTCCCCCCCCCGCCCCCGCAGACACACACACACACACACACACACACACACACACACACATCCTTGACGATGGGGTCAGGGTCTGTGACGTTCACCCTGCCCTCCGCCTGCCTTCCTGCAGGTGTCAGCAGCATGTTTGCTGCATGCATGATGCACATTTTCCCCCGGGCTCTCGGGCGAGCACCACCCTGAACCCCTCCAGCCCAGCTGTGCCCAGACCCCAGAGCCTCTGGGGGCCGGACTAGGGCAAAGGGGCTCAAAGCCCCTGGGCGCTCCTGGGGCCAGGCAGGAGGGGCCAAGGAGTGCGTTCCTGGGGGATGCGCTGGGCACCAGGTCGGGAAAAGACCAGGTGCCTCAGGGAAGGGATGGTGTCCTCCCCACTCACTGCTCTTTCCTTTGCCACAAGCCAGGGGAAGTGTGTGGTGACTCAGGGGCTGTGGTGTGGACAGGCTGTGTGGACAGAGGCCCAAAAAGAGGCTGATGAGGCTCCCCTGGGTCCCGGCCCCCCCCATGGACCCTTTTTGGCAGACGAGAGGCCAGAGGGGTGGGGCCCCCTGAAGTTGGGAGGCTGTGGTGCCTGTTACCCATACACATCACATCTCGGCAGAGCCTGGCAGGCCCATCGGAGCCTGGGTGGGGGTGGCTAGCCCTCAACGGCCACGCGGAGGC